AAATAGATAGTATCTAATATTAATGGGGCGTTGGTATTTACGATGAACAGTATACCTTTCATTATCTTGTAAGTCGAAGACATTGGCATAATCAATCAAAAAAGGATTTGACTTAATGGATGTTCCATAATTAAGAGTACGGAGAATATATGTATGGAGAATTAAGAGTATGGAAATTAGATTAGATTCTTCGAGGTGGCTATCGGCCTGATCCACTGAGACCTTTTCAAAGATAATATGGTCCCCTTCTGATCCTTAGGTTATATTCTCCAGACCTATCCTTTTCACAAAAATCTAGCAACTTGGAGACCGAATCCTCCATATAGCTCTTTGTCAATGGCTCTATCATTTTCTGGTATAAAATAACGCATATTTGCCAGGCTGTCGCATCGACATATAATGTGTTCGGTCGTTTTTTCTTCAGATTGACAAAACCTGCACATAGCTTCGTCCATCAATCCCATTAGCTTTAGATGCCTATTCAGCTTACAATGCCCTGTTAGTAGACCCACTACAGCTTTAACTTTTTGACTTTGCTTATGTTATGTGAATTTGAATTGAATGGTGAATTTCTTCACCATTCTAGAGATTTGATGGCCACCAATCCTTTTGTATAGCAGCATTGACTGGACAATTGTAAACCAGACTCATTGGTGCCCCAGCTTGAGGAAGATACTCTCTTTCTTTCTTGGTGACTCCATCAAAGAAACATTAGAAAAGATCAGACGAATAGCCATATGATATAACATTAAAACAGTTTTTAAGTCTGTAACTAAGATGCTTTAAAAAAACAAGAGAAAGAGTGCATCTTCCAGATACTTTGTGAATACGGCCGTATGTGTTGGTCAAACAAAGCAACCTCTTTGTTGGAAATGTTGAGGTATATTGATTTCACTTTCACAAATGTCGTCAAGTAATGTCGTCCAGGAACCTCGCTGGCCATTATACTGCTCTACCATTTCCAATCCATCTTCAGGGGAAATGATTTGGTTGTTTATTGTATTTAATTTTCCGTATTCAAGGTTTTATCTTTATCTCACGTCATTGTTAAGTTTTATAGCTCATCAATATTGTAACAATAAATAGATTATATATTAAAAAAAAACAGAGCCGGACTTGAAATTTCTTTAAATAAATTGTGTTTAAATGCCCAAAACAAAAGAAAAATATTAAGTGTGGCATATATCATTGTACTCAGGAGACCGAATTCTTTCAAAATCTAAAATAAAAAATGAGGTCCGTATTTAGAAAAAGCAAGTTGGCCTATGTAAGTATCTCACAAATTATCAGTTAATTTGAAAGTCTAAAAAAACAGATAGAAACAATCAGATAGCCCTGATAAAGTGGCTATGAGAATGTGTAATTAATTTTTTGATTTTCTAAAAAGTATAACCACAGAAAAAAATAAAATTGATTTTCAAAAAAATCCGTTTTTTCCAAATAACTCAGCAATCCTTAGATTACAGTTGAGGGTTGGAACCTTTGGTGTTACACAGCAAAATAAAGATAAAAAAACACTAAAAAAACACTAAATCACCACAATACACCAAAACACTTTTACTTTTACACTGTGCGCGTTTCGCTAACAATGATAGCATCATCAGCAGATGATTATAAACTAAAGTACAATCTACAAGTTGAGCGTTTATATACTCGCTCAGTGGACACCGAGTGGGTGTGGCAAAATCTAGCCAACCGAGTCAGAGCCCACTGAGCGTAACAGTTAGATTTCCGCCACTAGAGTAGTAGGAACACAGAACTTGAAGGAATTGGACCGTTGTCTCTGTTCATACTATCTTTACATTTATTAATTCTGATGCTTTCATATGCATCTAATTGCCTGTAATTTGAGACTTGTTTAATTAATTTTAAATTATTAAGATCTATACAATGTTCTTTATCAACAATATGTTCGGCAACGCAAGATTTATCCGGTCTACCATATCTTATCTGAGCTAAATGTTCTTTAAATCTAGTTAATATTGATCTTCTAGTTTGCCCAACATATTTCTGATTACAATCTTTACAAGAAATTTCATAAATACCCGACCTTTCCAATGGAGGTGTTTTATCCTTTGGATTACCTAATAATTGTTGTAATTTATTATTAGCACTATACACAAGTTTATAATTGACATTCTTAAAAATTCCTTTTAGACAACGGGATAACTCTCTATCAAAGGGTATCGAAAAATATTTAGACGTATCTTTCTCCACTTGAAAAGTCGAATTTTCAGAAATCATTAACCTATACCTACGTTTTCTAATTAATTTATCAACTAGTGAAGGAGAATATCCATTACACTCAGCTACATTCCTAATGTAATCTCTTTCTATTTCATATCTTTCGTTGGAAGGTGGGAAACTAAGTAATCTATGAACTAAGAAATTTAAACTAGCCATTTTATGTTCAACACTATGATGTGATTCATTAGGAATATATCTGCGTGTGGTCGTATTTTTCCTATAGATATCAAATTCCAGGCAATTATTAGTATTTCTAATAACTAATACATCTAGAAATGGTAATCTGTCGTTGTTCTCAATTTCATGCGTAAATTTAATGGAAGGAAAACGATTATTTAACTTAGAAATAAAATTATCTATGGTGTCTGAATGTGTGTCAAAAACAAAATATCATCCACATACCTAAACCATACTCTTGGAAAATACTCAAACTGATTCTTAGCCTCCACTTCAAACCTGCTCATGAATAAATTAGCCAAAAATGGAGACAATGGATTACCCATTGCTGTACCTTCCCGCTGTTCAAAAAAATTGTTATTAAATTGAAAACAATTTTGTTTCATACATAACGATGTAAGCTCAATATATTCAATCAAAGTTTTGTTGTCGAGACCATTTGCGTTCAGTAATTCCTTCAAGTAGCCTAAAGTATATGTGGAACTGGAACACTTTGGAACAACGAAGATACATCAAAGGAGACCAAAATTTCACCTTCATGCAATGTTATATCTTTAATTTTGTTAATGAATTCAATATTATTTTTAATTGAGAAAGAAGGTTCATAATCAGGTAAATTTTCGAACTCCCTTGATAACCATTTTGCCAAATTATAAGTCGGAGAACCTACAGCCGAAACAATTGGGCGCATAGACTTGTCCGGTTTATGAATTTTTGGCAAAGTATACAATTTTGGTAATGAGGGATTGGATACTTGCAATTTCCTCTTTAAAGAAAGATCAATAAGGGTGTTACATTCTTTTAGAGTTTTTTTAACGTCTGCTACCATCTTAGACAAAGGATTCTTTTTCAAATTTATGTAGGGGCCATTATCGATTCAGTGTAAAAGTAAAAGTGTTTTGGTGTATTGTGGTGATTTAGTGTTTTTATTTTGCTCAGCAATCCTTAAAATTTTTAAAACTTTTTTGATGGTATCTTGGTGAACACCCCAAGGCGCAACTTTAATCGAGATACCAATGCTCGTACCTTGAATTTGTAGCACCCTGTATAGAAATTGAATTCAAATTAATAGCCTGATATTTTAAGAATCATATTATAAAAAAAATTTAGGTATTATAATTAAAACGGTTTATTGTAAAATTCTGCACTCAATATTTTACGTGGAACTGAATTAAAATTCAATCAAAGTACGTTCCATGTACGTTCCCATTACTTATCAAAATATGCGATCTGCAATCTTTCAGAAAAAGGTAAAAATGACGATGCAATTCTATAATATAAATATTTTGAAACGCTATAATATAAATATTTTGGTCCACGTGTTTATCAAAATATTGATATTTTAATACAAATTTTGTGAAAGTGTATCAAATTATTACCTGTAAAAACCCATTTGTTACAAAAAAGCTATTTGTTACACGTAATAAACTATTTTATTCCTTTTTTTATTTTACGCGTAATTTTTTTTTATTTTATTAGTTTTTCTACATTTCAAACTACACTTTTTCAAACATATCCTTCAAATCCTTCAAATTAACAGTTGTTACAACATGTTACAATTTCAAATAAAACATATGCGAAAATGTCAAAAGTTGACATATATGATATGTCATTCTATTTAAAGTGTCATTTTCTATCGAATGAAGTAAAAAAATACTGAGGGTGCCATTTGACAATTAAAAGTTGTCGTCATTTTAGGTGAAACAGAAAGTGACCGAAAACAAATCAAAATTGGGTCAATCAACCTTAACTCTAATTTATGTCATATACTAACATACCAAATCTCGATTTTTATCTTTTGGGCACACTTTTGAGGCGCACCCGGTATAAAACTAACATTATTGCCATCTAAAATGAGAGAAAAAAATGACAGAAAATATATTTTATCTGTAAATTAAAACGATTGACACAACTGTCACTATCATGGATCCTATCTTTGGACAAACTATACATATTAATGTATGTATACAAAACTCAATATATCCGTCAAATCAAAAGATACCCCTGATTTTTTGTGCTAGTTGGGAAAAAAAATCAATATGATCAAGTTTTACTACTATTTTCAGTAAAACCACCCTTACTTTTTTTTTTAATTTATCTGACACGAAAATCGCAACACCCAGTATGAAATAAGAAAAAAAATCAAATTTCAACAAGCTCCTACTTTACATTTTACAAATTTAATATTTATAAATAATATAAATACATACTATTTATAGCGTATATTTTTTCTTGATAATGTTACTCTTTTTTCTTCATGTCGAATAAAGATTATAATTTAGTTTGTCAGTTTTTATTTTTTTTTTCAGTTCGTTTATTAATTTCTTTATTATTTTTTATTGACCAATAAATTAGGAATAAATAAATATATCTGAGATTCATAAAATCCTAAAAACATTTTTATTATGACGCATAGTTTTTTTAGTTTAATTACCTATTATATTTATTATTAGTATATTTCTACTAGTACTTTATATTTATGATTATGCGCTAAATGAAATCCAACGCAAATTCGGAGATTTTATGACAGAAACACCCCATAATTTAATTTTTTTACACACAGTTTTTTCACTCACCTGCCATTATCACTGTCTTGAGTCTTGATCTCCTTTGATTATCCTAACTTACTAATATACAATAAACATTTTCATATTAAACTCGAACAAAAAATCGTCTTTGAATCCCTCTCTCTCACTAGCCCTTTAACTCGAGAACGGTCGACTTTGATGTACTCTTTCTCTAACGAATACCCGTTCCCGTAACCAGGAAATAAAAGAACTGAAGCCGCGTTCACGCAGCGGTAACGATAACGCGGAAGAGAATGGAACAAAAGGCCGTCACGGTGGGACGTGGTGCACGAACGGTCGGCGCTGGCGAAACGATCAATACAGAGCGATCGACGCTGAGCGCGGATTATGCCGATACTGCAACCGTGCGTCGACGGCAGTTTTTTTGATCGGCGTGGGGGCGCGGTAAAATTTGAATTTCCGATGCGCGTTAACGTGCGCAGACGAGTGGAAGTTTGGTTTTCCGCTTTTTAGGGGGCGCACCCACCAAATAGGCAAAGATTCTTGGTAGTCGTGATTACATTAGGGTTGTATTCAAGCTTTAAGGTCTATCAATCGAAGGAAGAGACTAAACCAAAACAATGACCAATGCATTTTGCGTTGATCAAGAACCGCAGAGCACCGATGTCACTGGGCCAAATTAGTCAAACCCTGGTGCGTCCAGACCTGACGAGATGTGAGCGAGACAAGAGCGAGACAAGAGCGAGGCAAGAGCGAGACGAAAGCGAGAAGAGAGCGAGACATCTTCTATCTATTTTTTGAGGCAATCCTGCCACGAGACGAGCGAGTTAGATCATAGTGAAAGGATCCCAAACCCACATTAAATTGTAATTGAATATAACAAAACGATGGCCAAATAATAACACATACAGTAATAAATGTTTGTATCTTTAACATGGTCTTTGGTTAGGTCCATTTTTGGCTATGCGAGTCCATGTTATCCCTGTTAATTTCCTAATATCATGGTCCCATCTTAGGTTTGGTTTTCTTCTAGGTCTTTTAATTTTTCATGGGTAATATGCTGTAATTTATCGCATCTGTTCCTATTTGTCCGCCGTCCCTGCCAGCAGGTGTCCTGCCCATTGCCATTTGAGAGATTTGATTTTATGAATGATATCTATTACCTATTAGTATTCTATTAGTTGGTAAATGCAGTGTGCATTCACCAACTAATAGAATACTTAAATGCTCCTGATTTTATCTAGTCTGGTTTTTTATGGGGATATGTTAAAGATAGTATTTACAAAACTTGACCAACTATTGTCGACAACATGAGAGAAATTATTGTAGCTGCTTTTCGAGGTAGAACTCCACATATGCCTTTTAAAATGAATGAAAAGATCCTTTTGAAAAGACTTGACATCATTTTATGCAGTTAACAGGAAAGGAAACATTTTGAGCATTTGATTTCATCTATTAGGGAAATTGGAACAATTTCCGTTGCACGTCATCAATGACACCATGCGTCGTCTTATGGAGTTTGCTGGTGGTCGTATTATGATGTGCAACGGAAGTTATTTTAATTTCCCAAATTTTTGTCACATTATTATATGTTTTAGTTTTAATTGTGTAATAATTAAAATATGTTTTAAACGTGTATCGTTTTATTACCGTTGAGTATTTTACTCTACAATCTTTAATTTTTGTTAAATTAACAAAAGATATAACACAGCTACCCTAGATTTTTTCAAATAATAAAGATCTACTGACCCAAAAACATAAAAATTAAAATATCTAGGAAAATCTTTCTCTGAGGGGTAGGCAACCTTAATAATATTTTGAAGACATATAAATTCTCCATTGAACACCGGAATAATATACTGGGTCTTCCATTTATAATAAAGGAGTAACTTGCTTTTAACAGTGACTAATGTTCCATATTAATTTTGTCTCACCCTGTGTAACTTTTCGGGGCAACTTTCAATTTGGTTTAACATACAATGGTTACTGTAATTAAATATCAGGCTATACAAGATCCACTAAAATTTAGGTAGCCTGTTATCGACATTTAAAATTTACTCTTCATTTTCACAAAACGTGAAATATGTCAAAATCCTTAGATTTTAGGTATATGCTTCTTTAATAAAACTCATCTTTATTTTTTCCTAGAATCGGAAAATCAATTAATCTATATGGTGTTCCATTAGAAAAAAACACAACTTTGATGTGTAACTTTTTTGGGGGACACCCTGTATAATTTTATATATTTTTATAAAATACTTTTAGTTAACCTACATATGCTGCCAAAATATAATTTCGATATAAACTACCGTTCTCCTTGGAGCTTCCGCGGCGTATGAGAGGCGCCACCCTGTATAAGTTATGACTGGTAATATTATTTGTAATCCATACTAACTTAATTCTTCTGTTGATGTCTGGTAGCATTTTACAAAAACTATTAAGCTATGGACTTCATTTAATACATCTTCATAATGGTGTATGTTGTTCAAAGCAAGTAGTTATTAATTCGTTTACCTCGACGAAGTAATGAATAGAAATAAATAATTAATTAATTTGTAGATAATCAGAAATTGTCAATAAACATCAGGTAATTTCCTTAACCTTGCAATTGATATTTTTCTATACCGGGTGGGTCTCAAAAGTGGCCCACACCTATAACTTTTTTATTTTTTCAAATAAAAAAACTAGATTTGGTATGTTAGTATATGACATAAATTAGGATTGATTGACGTATTCAATTGTTTTTGGTCACTTCCTGTTTCGCCGGAAATTACTACAACTTTTAATTTTTAAATGGCACCCGCGGTATTTTTTTACTTTATTCGATTGAAAATGAAATTCTGAATAGAATGACATGTCTGTCAACTTTTCACATTCTCGCTTAATAAAAAATCGTATATTAAAATTCAATCTAGAGTGCCATGACTATGTTAAAACACTAATTCTTAATCAAGGAGCCTTGGAAAAATAGGTTTGATCGTCTAATGTTTTTAGTGTTTTGTCCTGGCTAGTTAGAAAATTCTCAAATCGTATTTTTAATTATAATATCTCAATTTTTTCAAATGGAACGAGGGTGGTTCATTAGCATTAGCATATTTGAAAAAAGAATTTTTTTACGAATAATTTGATACCCCACACTTGGTATTTCGAGTCAAATTTTCGTTACGAACCGCAAGTTATAATTTCAAATAAACCATATGCGAAAATTTCAAAAGGTAAGATATGTCAATCTATTCAGAATGTTATTTTCTATCGAATAAAGTAAAAAAATACCGAGGGTGCTATTTAAAAATCAAAAGTTGTAGTCATTTTCGGTGAGACAGGAATTGACCGAAAACAATTGAATATGTCAATCAATCCTAATTTATGTCAAATACTAATATACCAAATCTCGTTTTTTTAACTGAAAGAATAAAAAAGTTATAGGGGATGAGCCACTTTTGAGACGCACCCGGTATATATCTATGTATAATATATAAAGTAATAAATAGATAGATCTACAGATGTCGTTATGAATTCTCGTTTCAGGTCTTTGTTATAGAAGTTTTGCTCGAATCTCCTACTATTAAGAGAGCTCACTAACGATAAAGATAGATCTCTAAAGCACGGTGGCTTTATGCTCCCGATTTCACCACCTGCTTCCAGGTAGGGCGCAAAACGAATATGTGTCAGGTTCTCGTGCCGCTTTTGTGCATCTGCTGTAGTTAATTCGTCAGAGAACAGATGTTCATATAGGGACTGTATTGTTGAGTCAACTGATCGATCATATGTTGAATAATTAGAAATGTCATAGGCATAAACAACATAACAGGACTAATTCTAATGATGCTATGTTCGACCTATTTAATAATGTATACTCTAGCCTGAATAACCATCACTCTACAGTTACAATTTTCTGTGATTTCTCTAAGGCTTTCAACTGTGTAAATCATAATATCTTAATTAACAAATTGCAATACTATGAATTCAGGGGAGTGCCGCTCGAATGGCTTAAGTCATATCTTGGCAACAGAAGGCAGCTTGTGAGGATTGATACGTGTATGTCTTCTTGTAAGCCTATAGAATGTGGTGTTCCTCAGGGTTCAGTACTTGGCCCTATTTTGTTTCTGGTGTTTATCAACAACATTGCAAATCTAAACATTAGCGGTAAAATCTGCCTCTTTGCGGACGATATTAGTTTCACTTGGAGCGGCCAAGATGTTACGGCACTATATAAATACTATATCCAGTGACTTACGCACCATTAAATCTTGGTGCGATTCTAATCGCCTATGCCTCAACCTTTCAAAAACTAAAGTTTTGTCATATAAAAGTACTATACAACCTTTTGTACTTAATAACACCACTATTGACGTCGTGGACTCTGTGAAATTCTTAGGACTTGTTGTAGACAACTCGTTAAAATGGGACTTGCACATCGAAGCTTTATCAAAGAAACTAAGCGCTGCCTGTTTTGCGCTAAGATCAGTTTCTAAGGAACTTAACTCATCAACCTCTAGAATGGTCTATTATGCCCTTTTTGAGTCGCATCTTCGTTATTCCCGTCCATTCTGGGGTACTTGCTGCGCGACAAAATTTGATCGTATTTTTAAACTTCAAAAGAGAGCAGTTCAATACTTATTGGGACTGAACAGTAGAACTCACTGCCAGAATTTCTTTAAAAATTTTAAAATACTGACTCTTCCTTCCTTATTCATTCTTGAATCCGTTTGCTTAATCCGCAAGCACATATCTGCTATTCCGGAAAGGCCTTCTCACAACTATCCACCTAGAAATGCGGAGCACGATATTTATCTGCCAACCCCGAGCTCAGAACTAGTTAAGGGCTCAATACTGTACAATGCCAAGACAATGTACAATCATTTGCCTTTGAATATCAAGTACTTTTATTCTTTCCCGCATTTCGCAAAGCTCTGAAATCATACTTACTGGAGAGAGCCCTAACGACTGTGTTTGTTAATGTTTAATCATGAAGAATTTTGAATTTTAAAATTTTGATCATCTCACACACTGACTAAGGGTCTAGTATTTAATATTTAATATTTTATAATTGTTATTTTATAACTTTCTTAATACGCTTGAGTTCTACAATGTCCATGTATGTTTTATTTGTAATTTTAATGACGTAAATTTTTTTGAATTGATTTGTATTGTATTATATTTTTTATTATTTGTATATTTGTTTTTGTGCTTTTTTGTTTTGTAAATGCTTTGTCTTGTCGATGAAGCTGTTTTGGCTTTTTGTACAATAAAGCGTTGTTTATAATTCTAAACTTTTAAGACAATTTTTTCCTCCTAAAATTTTGAGAAAAAAATATTTTTTTATTATAAAACTAAATAATTACATCCTTTCAATCAAAACTAAGAAATGAGTACTTATATGAACAAAATTAGAAGCACC